TGAGCATAGATATTGAAATTGGAATATATATATTGCATAGTATATACAATATCAGGATATATATAATATTCCAGTATTACACGCACACACACACACACACACACACACACACGTCACGCACAGTATATTTAAATTTCTACAGGATCTGCTGCTCAGTTGGTTAGGAACAGGATAAATTTGCCATTTTCTATAGAGCCTCTCTCTAGGGAGTCTTCCCCTTTTTTGCATATATAATTTCCTTTTCCTGTCGCAACCCTGAAGGGTAAGGATTTGTGTCAGTTTTACAGAGAAGCCACAGTCTCAGAGAGGTCAAGTAACTTTCCTGAGATCACTCAAGAGTGGAACCGATCATTCAAGCAAGTGTCCCGATGTGTGCTAACCGCATCACTGGAAAGTAAGGGGCTAAGATCCTTGCCCTGTTTATTTGGTTTCCCATTTATCTTATTCACCTAACACACTGAGGGGTCCTTTAAGAAACAACCTCTCATTATGGAAAAATTCAACCCTTATAGAAAAGTAGACAGAATAATGGACTCTTAGAGGTCCTTTTAATTCCACCCAGAATTGGTTGCGCTTACAGCTGCCAAAGGTTGAGGGCACTGAATGAAAGGGAAACATGAACTTGCCGTTTTGCTTTCTTTCTTAAAACAAAAAAGATATTCAGGGCAAATTTTAGAATCATTGACGGTTTCTAGGAAGATTTTCTTTTTTGGAAGAAAAAAGGTACTCTTGTCTCCTTAATTGTTCTTTGTCACCAATCATGATATTCTTTGTGGAAGGTATTAATATACCATCTTCCTGTGTTCAATATTCCCATTAACAATAAAAAGTCTAATGAAAATATCTGCATGAAAAGCTCTGAGCACTAATTTCAGAGACAAATAGAAGATGAACCAATAAGCTTTTCTTCTGAAATGAATGATGCAAATTAATTGATATCTTAATTAGGCTTTAGCACGAAGATTATTAGTTAGATTGAATCAGAACTGAAAAACATCTTAAAGAAAAAGCCGAGGAGGACATGGCACTGAGGGGAGCGAGATGTTAGTTGTCAATGCTCTGTTCGAAATCTCTTTTGTTCAATGAGAGGTTTTTCAAAGAGGGGGCGGAGAAGGACAGCATGCTTTACCTAGGAGTCCCTGCCTGCCGAGGTCTGGCCAGCATTGGGGACTGAAGCCTCGTCCTGCCCCTGAGCTGATAGGAACCCACCTCTGTGGGAAGTTCTGCCCTGGGAGAGCCCCTGGTGCCCCTGTAATCCCAGCCCTGTGCTGCAGCCTCTTACTCTGCCTCACCAGAACAGAAGCCCTTGGAAGGCAAAGATTCGCCCTGTTGTGTGCGCATCTGCAACCCCAGGGCCAGTGCAGTGCCTGACTTAGGAACAATAAGGATAATGTTACAGCCAGCAATTATATACAGCTTACTATGTGCTCTGAGTACTGTTCTAAGCGTTTTACTTAAAAGAACTAATTTGAACTTCATAACAACAGTGTGAGGCAGGCACTACTGATTAGCCCCACTTTTCAAGGGAGCATATTGAAATGCAAGTTGAGTATCTTGCCCCCCAAGGTCACATAGCTATACTGGTGGATTTGGATTTGAACCCAGTCGTCCGGCTCCAGAGTCCTTGGTTTACACTTGCAGACAATGGTCAATCCATATTTGTTGAATTCAGCCAACGAAGGGTACCATGAACGCCTGGTTCCTACTGGTGGACTTCTCTAGTTTCTGAACAGGTTTCCTTTCTCCAGAGCTTTATCCCACTCAATAGTAGACTCCTGTCGGCCTCCCTTTGGGGCAGGGGGCTGCAGATGTTCCCTGTATTCCTAAGAACTGACTGCTGTTTCAACCCAGACAGATGGCCCCTAAATTGTCCCTACTGAGGGGCTCCCATGGCCGTGGTTCCACCCACCACCCAATTAGACCTGGGCCCCTAATATCACAGCCTGGGTTCCACCTCCATGGCCACTGCGAATCACAGGGCTATCGTCACTCTACCTCTGCTGTGACTTTATGGTGTGCCTTACTGTCGAGGCCACCGACTGCTGAGGGTAGCGATACTAGGTAGGGTTTACTCTTAACCTAACATATCAAGGGTTAAAATTACAGAGGAGTTCAAAATTCTTCCCAGGTATATTTGATTGCCCAAGATAGCATTCCCTGGGGAGGTCCCCTAGCAGCATCTATCCATAAGAGGGAACGAGAAGGAGAGCCCTGGAATGGTAGGTGACCCACAGAGACTCTGCTTCCCATCTGACAGGGAGGGCACGGTGGGATGCCTCTTGCCACAGTGGAGTGGCTGGCTGAGACGGGGTGTGAACCAGACCGTGTGGTCTGACCACGTGGTGGGGTGTGCAATCTGGAGCTTGGGGGCTTGGGCTGAAGACCCAGCTCCATGAGCCTCTAGCTAAGAGACTGCATCAGCCAGCCCCTCTAGGCTTCGCTTTCCCACCTCTGAAATGGGGATAATGCCTACGTCACAAAGCGATTGTGGGGCTCAAAAGGAAGTGTCAGAAGTGATTATCACTTGAAAATTGCTCCACAGTTGGGAGACGACAGCAATGACCAAGGCATTCCGACGCTGAGCTCTGTGGTCTTCCTTCAGTTGGCTCAACTCCCTTCTGGAGACTCATTCGCTCCACACTGATGGAAGTGGTGCCTGGGCATCTGCATTTTGACACGTTCACCCGCGGATTTGAACACGCTCTAATGTCTGAGACCTACTCAGCCACAGCTAATGCCAACACAAAGGAAGTACTGCTGGGTTTGATGAGAGGCTTCCCTTTTTTTGGCCAAGGTCCACAGCCTGAGACCTAAACGAGCCTGGTTTTTATATTGGCCATGCAGCTGGAGGAATGCGGGGGCTGGTGGGCAGGCTGAGTGGATATAGCTGAGGAGAGCTGCCGCTTCCTGCTGGACCCTTGGATCAGGGAAAGGGGGTGAAAATGTGCCTGAAAGCCAAGCCTCCTCCGGTCTGAGCGGCAAGGCTGACGGCCACAGCCGGGCAGGTGGCCCTGCTAAGCTCTGCGGCTTAGCAGTCTTGCGGGCCCCACCTGGCACCTGCCACCCACTCTGCTTCTCAGCTGGGCTGCTGAGAGCCCATGTGTGTGCCGCGAAGCATCTGTGAGAGGCACTGTCCCGAGTGCATGCTGGGGTGAGGGGATGGGCGGGGCGGGGGGCTTCAGGCTTGGAAGAGAGGCAGCCTCAGGGCCCCAAGGTGCCCTCGATGCTGAAATGACTCCACCCACCACAGTTTTTGAAGTGTGCCTCAGAACTGCCCCATAGAACCCTCTTATGGACAGCCTGGTATGTGACGTCCAGAGCAATACTCCTTTCTTGAGAGCTTCGCCCCCTTGTGACGGCCAGGGAATCCCAAGTACAGAAAATGGCAAGGCTCTAGATTGGGGCAGGATCCAGTATCTTTCCCTTTGGTGCTCTCAGCCCTCTCCCTGCCCTGATGGCATGAAAATCCCCCAGATCTGCCCCTTTCCATGTTTATGGTGTTTCCAAGGCTCTTCACCAGGCCCAGGAGTGCTTGGTCGGGAAGGGTGTTGAACAATGCCCCTGCTTTCCCTCACGCACTCTCCAAGAAGCCACTGCCAGAAGCTTCCCTGGAGGGAGCCCTTTCCAAGGCCCTCTGTAGCCAGCACTGCCTCTGAGGATGGGCTGCCGACCTGAGCATCCTGTGAAGGGCCTGTGGTCACTGGGCAGGGGTTGGTTGACAGGGTAGCTTCCTCCCCAAGCCCCCCAGTCTAGGGGTTGTGAGAGCCCCTGCCTTGCTCAGGAGCATCAGTGGCTAGTTCACACTGATACCCCTTCCTCTGACCCATAGCAGTAGAAGGAAAAACACAAACTCCTTACACTTGTGGTACTATGGTTTCCAAAGTGCTCTCAGGATGCTCTCTCATTGGATTATCATGACAACCACACAGAGGAGGTAACATGGTTCCTATCTTACAGATAAACATGAAACACCCAGAGGGACTCCGAGCAACTTAATGGTGATCATTGGTTTGGGGACCAGCCAAACCTAGATCCAGACTTAGTCTTTCTAGTTCTGGATTCCCACTATCTTACGGCTTGATGCCTTTGCACACTATGCGAAGGCCATCCGCGAGCTCTCTCAGCGCAGACGCACGGATAGCTGAAGCTAGCGTGGAATTTCCCAGAGTGTGCGGCAGGCGATTGTGAGCACAAGATTCAATAGTCAAATGAGGTTGGAAAATAAATGCATACTATATAGTGCACATTAGAATATTAAAAGCTCTAAAAAATCCTTCAGTGAGGAATGGGATTAATACAGTGCAACCTGGAGTCTCCAAAACTTGTTTGGGAATAGAACCTTTTTTCTTCCCCCACATAATGCCCGTTAGCAATGCATCAGACTTGTGTTCCTCAGACCTACTCCAGAAGGGATGAGCCAGGCTCCTTCACTATTATGTAATGGCAAAGGGACACAGATGAGGGGAGACCGCTTGTTTCTGTACAAAGGAAAGGACATCACCAGGCCTTCCCTGTGCCCCTCAGCCCATCAGGAGGAGGAGCTCCTGCAGGACCCGCCCTGGCCAGCTCTGCCCCCCCGGACTGCACAAAATCACCCCTGTGCCTTCGAATCCAGGCTCCTTGTGGTGGTGCGCTGGAGGCTATTGTTAAATTTTCAGAAAATTTGTGAGTTAATCATTTAAATCATCAGGAACTCAAAATTGGCCATGATGGAAGTATTTACATTACAGAAATCAGCAAACACGACAAATTGGGGCTCTCCCCACCCGGTTTATCCTGAGAGTCCATTTACCTGTGCACCACTGATCCTGGATGTTTTTTGGAATTGTTAGAGAACTTGGAAGGGGCTGTGACAGCTGGAGGCAAGGGGCAACCTGACACGGAAGTCCTTGCTCTTCAGAGTCCCCAGCCCTCCTGGGTGAAAGCCGAGAACCGCACAGAACAGTCATCCTCCAGCTATAACCCCAAATGAATCAGAAAGTGCCTTCTGGCCTGCTTACCTTTATATCTGTTACCAGCCAGTGTCTCCAGAATTGAGCTTTGGGTGAAGACCTGCTCGGGGCATCTGGATCCACCATCACCAGGATGTAGGTTGCGCCCTGTAACACATTCACCAGAAAGAAATGTAGCATCGTGACTAGAATTCTGAGAGGAAAACTGCACGGTGCAGTCTCTCCTTTTAGCTCTACTGCAGCCGAGAATGGCGGGCCGACCCCTGTAGCTTCCTACCCAGTCCATCTTTGTTCTCGTGACATTCCTCTTGTGTCACATGTTTACTTGCAGAGAAATGAAGTCTATTAAGTAGACAGCTGAAAAGCTTGGCTTTCCCTTTATGAAGAAGAACAAATCAAACAAGCATATTTACTAAGCATCTGGAAGTCCCTAGCATCATGCTAGGTGCTATGATGGGAAAATGAAATTTAAAACAGGGCTTCTGCTCTCAAGAAGTTTACAGTATGGTTGGAGCAACTTATCCATGAATTTGGCAAACACAGGAGAACTTAGTCTGTATCAGGAACAGTACCAGTTGCAAGGAATACTAGGATTCATTCATACCTCAACAAGCATTTACTGAACACCTACTATGTGCCAGAAATCGTTCTAAGGGCTAGGCATCCAACAGAGAACAAGACAGTGTGAGCCTTACTTTCAGGAAGCTTTTATTCTAGGGAAGAGACACAGATTTTTTAAAAACTCAACAAACAAACAAACAAACCCGAACCACAAGGAAATGTCCAATTGGGATTAGTGCTCTGATGAAAATAAAATAGGGTGGGGGTGAGACGGATTAAGCATTCCGAGAAGAAGCAGCAGCCACTACAAAGGCCTGCATGTGGGAAAGAGTGGGGGTTTGAGGAACAGAAGGAATACCATGTGGCTAGGGGTGAGCAAGGGGAAGAATGGACAAGGCCCGGTTGGAGAGGTGGGGGGGCGGGTGGCACAGAAGTCTTTATAGGCCTTGGTAGGCGAGGAGGAGGGTTTTACTCTAAGTGCAATGGCGAACCAATGGAGGGTTTTAGCCAGCAGAGTGAGACGCTCTGATTTGTTTTTCAAAGATTGTTTTGGTGGCTGGGTGGAGAATGCATGGTTAGCAGAAGGTGAGAGATGGAGCCAGGAGGCCAGTCAGGAGGCTGCTGCAGTAGCAAAGGGAAGGATGGTGGCATATCGGACTAGAATGGGGTAGCAATAGAGAGAGATGCAAGGAGGTAGATTGGGGAAGTATTTTTAGGTAGAATCAATGGGATTTGCTGATGGATGGGACAGTTGGGCATTGAGGGAGTGAGGAAAGAGAATTTGAGGATATCTCCTGAGTTTCTGGCTTGAGCAACTGGGTGAATGGGACCATTTAGTGACATAGAAGACCTGGGGAGAGACTGTTTGAAAGGGGGTATTGAGAGTTCTGTTTTAGGCATATTAAGTTAGAAATGCTTCTAAAAGTATGCAAGTCAGAGTCTGGAGTCTGGAGGAAAGGTCAGGACTGGATAGCTAAGTTTTGGAGACATTGACATATAGATGGTCCTTAAATCCATAGACTAATGAGATTCTTCTTGGATGGATTAGACATGGAGCAGAAAAGAGGTCTTTTGAACAGAAAAGAGTTCTCTAGAACAGCTAATGTTTAGAAGAGAAGAGAATCTAGCAAAGGAGACTGTGAAGCCAGAGAGGTGGGGAACACCTGAAGAGTAGGTATCATGAAAGCCAAGCCAGAAAGAGTTTCGAAAAGGAGGAGGTGGTCAACTATGCTGAATGCTGCTGAAGGGTAGAGGGAGATGAGAACACAGATGTGACAATGTGATCGGACAACTTGGGGACACTGCTACTTGGAAAGACCAGTTTCAGTGGAGTAGAAAGGACTGAGGTTTGCTTGGGATAGGTGGAAATGAGACAGGGGATGTGGAATTGGGAGACAGTTCATAAAGATAATAAAAGAAATTTTAGTGTGAGGTCAGCTGAGACAGGGAGTGGCTGTTACTAGATGGGAAGGAAGAGTCAAGAGATCTTTAAAATTTTTTAAATTATTCTTTTAAGAGAGAGGTGACAGTCAGACATGTCTGCAGGCCAGTGGAAATGATCAAGTAGAAAGGGAGACAGAGAGGAGAAAGGGGATCGTTGCAAGAGGCAAGACTCTGGAAAGGTGGGTAGGGACAGGATCCAGAGCAAAAGTGGAGGGACCGGCCTCTGGTAAGATGCAGAGGATACAGGCTCAGATGCAAGGGAACTGGAGAATGTGATGGTGAGGAATGAGGACACTGTCTTCTGATGACTTCTATTTTCTCAGTGAATTAGAGGCAAGGTCTAGGGGAAGACAGATTATAAGAAGTTTGGGGACAAGGAAGAAGGGGTGAAATAGTCATTTTGGAAAGTGAGAAATTGAATATAGCATAGGTTTATAGTAAGGTTCCTAGATAATATGACATCCCACATCTGTGTGCTTTTAACTATTCAGGTGCAGTCGTGAAATAAGTGGTAGCTGGGTTTCACGTGGACAGGGCCTCAGACTGGTCAGGATGCAGGACGAGAAGGGAGTGGGAGAGTAAGACGTGAGTAAGGCAAATAGAGACAAGCCGGGGCTCCTCTTCGTCTGAAGGGGACGTGGCTGTAGTACAATGTGTGAGTGCCTGAACATTTACCAAGTGCTCAGGGGACGCAGAGGACGGAGCCTAAACCTCTCTACCTCAGGAATCCAGGCCGCCTTCGCAGACTGTCTTTTGAACTCGATCTAGAAGAATGAGCAGGGTTAGGAAAGTGACTCTGTAGGCCAAAGGAAGGGTCTGTGCAAAGGGATGGGGAGGTTCGGGGAATGGCAAGAATCTTGGTGTGCTGGGACACAGGGCATCTAGAAAGGAATGGTAGGTGACAAAGCTGAGAGGTTACAGGGACTAGATGATAGAGAGATTAGTGTCCTAAGTCGTTTAGAATTTGTTTTGCCACAGGACCATTGAAATTGTTTGAATAGACCACTGACATGATTAAGTGTGTGCTTTGGGAAGGCACATGATAAACGCTGAGTAAAAAACTGAAAGAAGAGCAACAAGAAAAAAAAAGACAACTGGGATATTCTGAAGAGAGATCACAAGGGCTTGAAAATGCAAGTAGTAGTAATGAAGACAGAAAGAGACTCCACGGGGAGTCTGCTTGGGATTCTCTCTCCTTCTATCCCTCCCCCGCTTGTGCGCCGGTGCTCTCTCTCTCTCTCAAATAAATAAATTAAATTAAAAAAGAGAGACAGAAATGTGAGGGGGAACGTAGGATCATATCCCAAAGAGCCAGGTGTGTTTCCCAGAAGGAAAAACTGTATAATTGATACTCCCAAGAATAGGTTCTAGCCAAAGTAATAAGAAAGTAAAAAGAAACAAAGTATAAATACTGTAAAAGAAATAAAACCGTCTATCCTCTTTCTGTCTTTTAATTAATTTTTTTTTCTTTTTGCAAGTGCCATGACTCCCTACATGAGAAATCCAAAAGGCTCAGCTGGAAACAGCTAGACTAATATTCAGTAAAGTGAGCTGTTACGAAATGCACACAAAATCAGTACTTATTAATAATGGCCAGAAAATGCACTTTTAAAATCCCATTTATAATTGTAATAAAAAATATAAAATATCTAGGAATAAACTTGATGAAAAATCCAAGACTTAGACAGAGAAGCCAAAAAACTACTGATGTGCAATGAAAAGAAAACTTGAATAGATGTGGAGACACGCTATGCTTTTAAACTGAAAGAACCATTTACAAATATGTCGATATCCTTTAATTAATTAGCTAATTTAACACAAGTCCAATCAAAATCTTAAATAGATGTTTTGGGAACTTCATGGAATAATTCTAAAGCTCAGAATAGAAGAAAAAAATAATTAGCTGAAGCAATATTGAAAACTAGGGAAATGGTATTGATTTTGAAGATATTAAAACATACTATAAAGCTACAATAATTCAAACAACGTGGTGTTGATTAAAGAACAAGTAACTAGAGGAAGCAAAGTAGAAAATCTAGAGAGAAACTCATGTTTTAACATATGTGTATTTAATAGATGATCAAGTTCTCATTAAATATATGATATTTAATATATGATAACATTATTTCAAACAAGTAGGGAAAGGATAGATTATTTTTTAAGTGCTACTGAGACAATTGGCTAACCATGTGGAATAAACTTCAGTCTCCATTTCTTTCATATGCCAAAAAATTTCCAGATTTAAATGTGAAAATGAAAAAAAATCTTTAAAAAGTGACTTAATGAAATTTAGTAAATTCATATAATGGAATACTCTGTTAGAATTAGATCTTTATATTTTAATATGGAAAAATATCTAAAATATACTAGTAAGTGAAATAAGCTGCCGAATAGTGTGAATGTTATCATCTAAAATGTGCAGGAAAAAAAACTTTACATATCTAACTATATATATATTTATAGATATATTTGCATATGCATAGAAAATGTCTGGAAAAGTACACACCAAACTGTTAACAGTAAATGGCATGAAAGAAAAGATTGATATATTTAACTAGATATAATTTTGAAACTTTTATGACAAAAAAAAAAGAAAGCAAAATAAAATTCAAAGATAATGCTGGGAGAAAATATTTACAAGATCTATGATAAAGTGTTCACCTTAATATGTAAAGTACTCTTTAAATCAATAAGAAAAAGAGTAATAACCCAATAGAAAAATAGATAAGCTACATGAATAGGCATAAATTCATAAAATAAGAAGTACAAATGATCAACAAACATATGAACAAACGTTCAATTTCATTAGTAATCAAAGATATGCAAATTTTATAAAATAAAATCCCATTTTGCCTATGAAATTGACATATATATTTTTTATGTCTATTCCCAGAGTTTTTTAAGGTATGTAGAAACAAGGGGTAGGTTACAAAATCTTATGTAAGATATGATCTCATTGTCTTAGTTAACCAGAAGAGAAGACCAAAACTGTATATCATACACATATATACCCTTCCATGGAAAGAGGACCAAGAAAATCAGAATTGAAATGTTGACCATCTCTAAGTGATGGGCTAATTATGAACTATATTCTTCTTTGTGCTTTTCTGCATTTTCCAAAGTTTGTGCAATAAAATGCACTG